TACCGAGAACAGAAGTGTCGCTGCTTTAATGACTGCGTAGGTCGAGAGTGAAACTCTCTTCCTCGTTGCCTAGACGATCTCCACTCGCGCTTGCGCAGCGTTGCAAGTTCAAAGAAAGAAATATTTCAAACTCGTAACACACATATTTTACGAATTTTGACAATCTTAATTTAGACACTACATTTTTACACAAATTGCTTAAGGTATTAAATTTAACAATACTAGGAATAAAACTTTATGCAATACTTTTCGTAGCGGAACAACTAAATAACAGGTGCTCTAAATTTTGCATTTCTTGTACTACGAGGACAAGTACAATTTTTAATAGAGAACCTTTCATAGCGAGATGGAAAATTTCCGTGATGAGTCAAGGCTTGATTAAGATACTGCCGTTCATACACCTTCTTTCACTAAATACTGAAGTAGTTTCACTTAATTTGATAGCTATTGACCTTCTCGAAATGTTTACCTGTTTTTCCAGCAATCGGTCTCTAAAAATTTTGTTCAAATATTTCACACTGGTGGCATTTTTCAGCTTTCTTTCCAACTTTATTAGTTCTCCCTTTATTTTGTTACAAAATCTATCTATTCTAATGTAAAGCATTAGAAAACTTTATTCTTTCTCAATCCTCATACTATTCTTTCAGTAAAAAATATCTACTTAACATAAATGAAGCTTATATATGTTAAAAACGAAGCTTGTATAGCTAAAGTTCAATTTTGGATAACTGTTACCGTGTACTTCTTATAATGGACCGGAGCAAGGCTAGTTTCCAGTTTAAGAGAATTTTTGAAACACGGTTGGAAGATTTTTTATTGCATTTAATCTGAATGAAATTGGGGATCAGTTTTTATGTTTACGCTTTAGTAAAAAATCAAGGTGATTCAAGAATTTCTGTCGTTTCAGGCGTTAATTTTGTGAACCGATTAATGGCCGAAGGCATGAATAATGAAGAAAAAACAATTAAACTAACCAAAAGTAAAGCACAAAATTTTGGAAAAATTTTACACTGTAAAATGTGTATAAAACAATATCTGCAACTAGAGGCAACAAATCGGGTAAGCAACAGCACAAAACCAAGTAAGAAAAATTACAAGATGTAAACTATAAATCAAGTGTACACCTGCTTCATCAGGTGAAAATAAGGACCAAAAACCAGCTTTACCAGGTAGATCATTCAGAAAGCACAGTAAGTAAATATGTACAGGAAACAAAAATGATGCAGAGGTATCTGTAGTTACCAGTTTGTATTACAGTGGATTGTTCAGTCTCTTGTATGCTCGATCAATAGAGGGGTCGTCTACACAGATATTTCAAGCTGTATCGGTTAAATCATAGCAGCATTTTGTGTAGAATGTGTTAATTTCGAATTTCACTGTTGATGGGTATAATATTGATGCAAGGCACTGCACGGAAGGGAAGGTTGCCTTTGTGGAGAACTTTCTAAGGTAAACTGGCTCGTATTAATACTTTATACATTAGGAAAACTACGGAAATGCTCATGCAGCCAGCCCGTTCGCTGGATTCGAACCAAACTACCTATGTTCAGCGTCATTACAGCTCGGCGGCTGGTGGGCGTCTTTTAACAATAAAGCTAGCTTTCTATTTACAAATTGCAGTTTTATAGAAGCCATCAAAATACTTAATGCTCTTTAGGAAATAATTAACTATACTTGCCCTCTGAAATTTCCTAATTAATAACTTGTATTTTGGCAATTCCTCTTTATATTTCATTTTATGCGGGATTCTAATGGATTTATGGACTCCAGGGAATTGTGTATTCATCCGGAGAGCGCGCACTTGCCTTTTACACTTTTCCAAATCTGGGGTCGACCAAAGAATCTCTTAGACAAAAGATCTTTATCAATCCTCAATTGCAAAATCTCGAATTCTTCAACTACTTCAAACAGCTTTTCTTTATTATCAATTAGTCTAAGCATTCAGCTGAGCTTTGTTATAACACATTTTATTACTGAGTCTACGGACTCCGAAAGCACTCTTAGAGGTAAAGCTTCAATTTCCATGTTGAAGACAAAAATCTGTCATTTCGAAAATTGGATATCGATGATCGCTCAGTGGTTCTTCAGTTCTAATTTCAGTTCTAACTGCATTTACTGCAATCTAAGTTGCTGGATCCCATAACCAAATCTTTCCAGCTTTATCCAACAGCAGAATTAAACCCTTTGTGGTGCACTGCACTTTAAAGTCGGTATTTCAACAAGAAAAGTTGTATGCAGTCAATCTAGGCCTAAAGGAGTATACAGATAAAATTTTGTAAAAATTGCACTTACCGTTTCAATTTTGTGGGTGTTCCATGAGGTGGAACACTGCGCCACCAGAGCTCTTGAAAGTGCGACTAAGCGAGCATTGCAGTGAAGCACGGAAATTAGTAGCTTATGTATAGTAATGATAAAACAGTGTATTATGGCTGTATACATGGTTTTCTAGATATACACAATATTCTTGAATATATATGGATAAAATGAGATAAATATATGTATATACACAAGTCCTATATACAAAAATATTTACAAATTTTTCGATTTCATAGCTTCGTGAAATTTTCAAAGCATGTCGCATCTTTTTGATAGAAGCACAAACCAAATTTGCAGGTTTTGAACAAAAAACTTGCTTTGTGCGGTTTCTGTTACGTGCAACAATAAGTTAAGAATTCCAAGTAAAGAAAGAAAGAGAAAAAGAAACTTTCTCTTCGGAAAGAGTTTTCCTGTCATTTATAGAAAATTAATGAAAATAACTGTAATAACAAAGAAAAATAAGCTATAAGATATACATATACAAAATATCTACACAATTATTGTAAATAAACGGGAATGAGACTAAAAAGCGAAAGCAAAATTCGCGCAGCTCCCCTAAGCAAAGAATCTCTAAGGAGAAGTAAAGGTTCCCCCGGGGCAAATGTGGCTCCGTCAGACCGAAGAGATACATTATGTATATCCCTGAAGCTTACTTTAAAGGGGCAAACCATTCCAAAGCTATCCACCCTCCGTACCTCACTGCGCATGTGCGAAATAACATCAGGAGGCAACAAAGCAGCATCAAAGAACGAGTAGCGTCTAGTCCTAGCATTGGTTGCTTCACGCATGCGCAGTAGGCATATTTCAGCATGGTAACCTTCGTCGCTTGGCCGAAGAACATCTATGTATGTTTGGCTTGGCGACGATTTCAGATTTCTGCGATTCGTAAGTGAAGTGTTGCGGAATGTATGAAATTCGGTCACTTTCTGCCCAATTATGCGAGCAATTATTTGCTAAGTGCTTAAAATGGCATATGGGGTAAAGATTCAACGGTAAAGATTAATGAAAGGCAATAACTTACTTTAATATGCACAGATAACTTTTAAAGGTGACTAGTTAGTTACAAATAGTTAGATAAGGGTACTTAGTCATTTTAGATTTACGTGGCTACTATTAAATTTATTTTTTTAAATATTTGTTAAAAAGGCACTATTAAAATCACAATCGATTAACATGTCACAGTTTAAAATGCATGTTATTTATGACATTGATTCTTAAACAACTTTAAGATATACACATTAAAAGCTACAAAACATTTACATTTCGTAGCAACAGTACTCAGCAAAATATTTGTTCATCTTTTTAATTTGAAGCCTTTCCAGACATTCTGGCTATTATATCAATTTCCTTTTCTTTAAATGTCTTTTCTAACTAGAAGAAATTTGCTTCAATATGCGAACCAATATTCCCACTAGTTTCTGCGTGTTTTATCTCCTAACTTGGCAAACTCTCGATAAAGTACTTATGAGGTTTTACTTGGTCTGGTAAACGTTAAATAGTCCAAAACCCCTGATAGACATGAAGCAAATTATTGCTATGTCTAAAGGTAACTGCAAAGTCAGATAAAGGTCTAAAAAAAAGCTAACTCTTTTTTGAAAAGACCTTAGAACATAAAGGCATGTTCTTATGCAGGTTTGCTTTAAGTCCAATCGGTGCCATCATGCAAATGTCTAGCGAGCGCCTTTATGCAGTGACGATGTTAAAGGGAAATTGTTTATGGTTAACACTTAAAATGAAGCATTATTAACATAAGACTCACACATGAAAAAAAAACTATCTTTTGTCTAAATATGCAAACATTTTGTGCTTTGTTAAAACTCGCACTAAAACATATTTATTGACGAATTATACATATATTTAAGTTATAAAAAGCCGCTCAACCAGTATAGTAGCTAGCGTTGCTGACTGCTGTTCAGAAGGGCCTGGGGATTGTTTATTAGATTATTAAACTAAATCAACTTAATGTAATAAATACATCAAGATATAATACAGTCATGTAAAGAAAATATGTCTTGACGTTGAATAGTACCATTCCCTGTTCCTCTGTCTTCAACTTAGTTATGTCAGGAATGTAGATATGATTTTATTCTTTGCAATATATTATCTTCAGAAATCATCTAAAATTTCACTGCAGTAAGCTTCTCGGCAAATCCAATGTTTATTTTTAAATTTCTTTTTAACATTTAGGACCTTTATCAACAAAAATAATTATTATATTGTATTTAAAGAATTGATTAACACTGATTGCTGTGTGTGTGGAGGGGGGGGGTAACCAGTGGCTGGCATTCAACTTGGCTACAGTGCCTTGGGGGCCACCAGTGATGCAACCAATAGTAAAAATACATAAAGTAAATATTGATACTGATAAATTTTTAATAATACCATAGTTATTATAATGATTTCAAGAATAATTGCAAAAATTTAAATAATAAATTGCAATAATGGTCTACAGCACCTTGGGGGATCACCGTTAATACCCACCATAAAAAGTGCATTAAACATAATTAATAAAACTCACCTTATCTTCTGTAAGTAATATTTCAACACAATATACATTGCATAATAGTTGGACATATTTGAATTAATAAAAAAAATCATCTTGGTGCCATGGTCAAATGACGTACGATGCACACAGCAGTCAAAGTATTAAAATTGTTAATTTTAAATAACATACAGTAATGAGATGCCTTGATATAGACTTTTATTTCTTTTGTAACATTTATTATGAGCTATTACAAAAATTAGAATTACAAATTATTGCAAGGAATTTTTGGCCATAAATTTATAGTGGAAGCTAATGGGTATTCAGACAAAGATTACCTGTAAGCATAAATAATTTATTATTAGCCTAGTATGAAGAAGCTTAGTCTTCTGGATTGTATTGCTGTGATACTGGCCTTGTATCTGCGTTATGATTTCGATTCTCCAACATTTAGTAGGTGTAAGGCAGTGATTTGGAGTTCTTCCTTTGTGGGTTTACACAATTTTTTGTGTGTGTTTTTTTCTTTCTCCCTTCTCCCTTTTTTACAGAAAATAAATGCCTCTGAGGCACATCAATTTTTTTCTTCTTTGTCGTACTTTGGGGTGTAATATTTTTATTAGAAGGGCCAGCAGTTTGAATTTCAGAAAAGCTGACATTATGGGCACGCACTGCATCCAGTGTTGGTTGTACTGCATCTAACAGTCTATTTACTGCATTATACTCAGCATCATTTTTAATTGAGCGCACAATGAATAAAAACTTTTCACTCATATTGTGAACTTTTTCCATCAAAGTTAGAGTTTTAGAAGTGCTAGGTAAATTTTTTTCTAATTCTGATGAAATTATATCCTGCTCGGTAACTTTGTCATCATCATGATCGATACATAAATCACCTACTGAATCATTATGGTCATCACAATTTTTATTTTTTCTGTACTGACATACAGAATGGATATGCTTGCACATATTCCATTTTATACTTGCATCTACGCATGTACAAGTATATTTGTGAATACATGCATTGCATTCGGTACAAGTAAGTTGGCAAGTACAATCATTGACTTTTTGCTCGACCAGATAGATTTCAGAACAATCACTTGATAAAACTTCCCAACCTCTTTCATTCTGAATGACTGAATACGATTCAGTTAGGATTACCTTGTGGCGTTTGCGCAGAATTTGTAACTTGCTGCACAGTTTACCCTTGTTCAGAATAATTAGTCTGTCGACCAATTTATCTTTTATAAAATTCATTAATATTGTAATAGACTTGTCGAGTCGTTTAACTATTTTTCCATTAAGATAGAGATACTTTATGGTCTTATGCATCCTTTCTAGATGCATGTTTGTATTAATCCCACACTGTAATCTATGGCAATATGCCCATGCAGTGGCATTTTTTGCGTAGTGGCTAATGAAATATTGCCCAAAGGCATTTGTATCCGAGTCATTTAGCAGTGTTTCGGTTGCTGTTTTTAACATGTTTTCAAATGCTGTGATGTCCCTCTCTTCTAATAAAGTTCGCAATATTTTGTCACTTCTAGTTGTTTTTCTTTGCTACTTACTTTTTTTAACTGCGTTCGCCATGCTCTATCTACATGCCAGCTACAGAAAAGCCGTTTTTTGGGGGCTGGCATAATTTGGCACCACCCGGTTAAAAAATTATTAGCCATGTCTGACATAAATATGTCAGGCTGAATGTTTCCACATGCTTTTCTGAATGTGTGAAAAAAACAGTGCCATTACCGTTTGATCGTTTCTGCTACATATGCAGAAAGCACATGGAAACCCCTGACGAAGATTATCGAGGACCAACAGTGTGATAAGTTCGAACCCATAGTTATTTAAACCATGAGTCCCATCATCACACAGACACAGTCCTTACCAAATTTTTCTAACATGTAACACTGAGCTTCATTCATAATTATAAGAATAAAATCTTCAAGGTTAAGCTCAGGGTACATGTCACTTAGCTGTCCTTGTGGTTTATAAAAGAGCACACAAGAATTTTCTGTGCCCTCCATTTCACGAACCCATGAGTCCACACTTACTGCATCATCTGCGTGTCTTACAGATGACAGATTGAACAGAAATTCAATATTGTGTAAATCATGGCGAGTAACTAGATGCATACGTGTCTGATCTCCTGCAATAGAATCGCGAATCTCGCCTAAAATCCTTTCGAAAGGAATACCAGCAGCAATCTTGGAAGCTAAATGCATTCTATCTTCCTTTGAAAGAAACATATGTCCAATTTCATTTTTATGGCCAACATGAGTCTTTAAGTATTGAACACAGCATTTTCCATCAGTTTCAATAACTGTAATACTTGCTGGACAAAATCCATTTATTTTTTTTGACCCCTGTAGTTTTAAATGTCTAATACCACTACCTTCTGGTGTATAAACACCAGAACGATGACACACAAAAAAGTAGTGGGTATCTGAATTCCTTTTTTGGGCACCACGTTCGACTATAAAACTGCACTTTGTCTCTGCTTCAATGCCTTTTTTCCATACATTAAATTCTTGAAAAGAAGGGAACTGCAAATCTTCAGTTACAATACATTTATCGTGGATGTTTTCAAAATGCTTCAACAAGTCTGCTTTTGTAGATGTAAAATCACATAATGGGCACTTCTTATAGCTGTAACATTTACCACCATTTGTGAGTTTAGGAGTATAACTCTTGCCATGCTCTGTATGTTCATGCGTACGAAGCAGGTTTTGCTTTGAAAAAACTCTCACAATCATTACATGTAAATTTGGGAACAGTTATTAATGCAGGAGCTAATTCATCTAATTTCGATGACTGGCACTTAGTAATATGCGCCCGTAGATTTCGTCGGAATGCATAAGTCTTTGAACACTCTAAACATACAAAATTACCTTCCATAATAACGACCGCGATAGTAACACATCAACTAACTTCTATGCTTCAAATTTCTTATTCAGACTTAACTTCTGCAACGTAGCAATATTTAGTGGAATAACATGTCTTTAGTTGCCAACCTGATGATACATCGCCAATTCTGTATAACCGACACCAGCCAATAACGCCAACGAAACTGTCATTGCGCATGCGTGAAGCAACTTCAATGCTAGGGCTAGACGCTACTCAAAGAATGCAGCATGCCGTCGGCCATGTTAGCAATCTTTTACCACGTTGTTCGAAAACGTTCTTTGTTGTTGTAGTCAGAGGTACTTGGTTTTAGCTATGTGAAATTCTTTTAAAGACTTTTTAAATGTAATGCTGTAAGTGAAATGGTTTTGGCTATTGGGTGAAAACTTTGCTCTTGGTTTTCACAATGGTCATTCCAAATAATTGTCTAAACGTTTTCATGGTAATTTGTTTTTACAAGTATATTTGTGAATACATGCATTGCATTCGGTACAAGTAAGTTGGCAAGTACAATCATTGACTTTTTGCTCGACCAGATAGATTTCAGAACAATCACTTGATAAAACTTCCCAACCTCTTTCATTCTGAATGACTGAATACGATTCAGTTAGAATTACCTTGTGGCGTTTCGCAGAATTTGTAACTTGCTGCACAGTTTACCCTTGTTTAGAATAATTAGTCTGTCGACCAATTTCTTTTATAAAATTCATTAATATTGTAATAGACTTGTCGAGTCGTTTAACTATTTTTCCATTAAGATAAATACTTTATGGTCTTATGCATCCTTTCTAGATGCATGTTTGTTGTATTAATCCCACACTGTAATCTATGGCAATATGCCCATGCAGTGGCATTTTTTGCGTAGTGGCTAATGAAATATTGCCCAAAGGCATTTGTATCAGTGTCATTTAGCAGTGTTTCGGTTGCTGTTTTTAACATATTTTCAAATGCTGTGATGTCCCTCTCTTCTAATAAAGTTAAGTTGTTGTCGGATAATTATAATGTATTTCAGTGTTTTCAATTTATTTAGGGGTGCCTTTAATTGTCTTTAAATATTTTTTCTGTTTCAGTTATTGCAAATTTTGCTTTTAAAATTTCACTAAAATTTTTTAACTATGGATCCATAAAAATTTATTACGTTTTGTATGGCATGTGTTTTCCCCCCTTTTTAAGTTTACAGAAGAAAAATAATTAAGAAATTTATTTCATTTAAATTTTGTCTTCGTACGGCTCGCTGTTTAAATTGAAAGTAAAAATTGGACTAGGATTTCTATAATTCGGCCCCCAAAATTCCAACTAACATCCTTTTGCTCATAAAACTCCAGAAATGTATGAAAATAAAACATTTTGAGTTATTTCAAAGTAAAAAATTTACTATCTCCTCGAACTGCGCTGTTTAAATTTCACCCTGCGCTGGTGTTTCACTGCATAGCTGTGGCTCTTCGGTACAGCGGCGCAGAGGCGAAACAGGTTACATTGCGTCTATATATAATTTCATTCTTCTCCTTAGAGAAAGCTTTCATTCTTCTCCTTAGAGATTCTTTGCCCTAAGTAAAGATGAATCAAGCTACTGATAAAATTCCCGCCTGAAAACTACCTACAAAAATTTCAAGATGCCCATATTAGGGCTTTCATAGCACAAACCACACCTCGCCTCTCAAGACTGCTTTGTTTGAATTCGTTCCCCCAAAAACAACATAAATAGAAAACATATACAACAGATGTTTTTCTTCTAAGACAGATGTTCTGATGCGTAATAGCATGAGATCGCTAAAGGCGCAGTGTTCCCGCTAATGGAACACCCCGTTTTATTCAATGATTCTGCGCATGGTTTTTGTATGAAAATGTAAAAAAATATATAACAAATAATAGAGTACAGTCATCAAAATTATACGCAAATTTTTTTCAAAAATTTTTTTTGCTTTACAAAAAATATAAAGTTACTAGAAAATAAGTGGATTTTAATAACACATCATAAATGACAATTCTGGGTCTCCTTGTGGTATGTTGCCATCTACTATTTAAAAAGAGACGTTTGAAGTATATTATAAAAACACTTTTATCCATTTACGGTTGAATTTAACGGTTTCAGAAGCGATTCAATTTGGGTGTTCCATGTAGTGGAACACTGAGCAACAAAGGGTTAAAATAGTTAAACAAAATTAAATCATTAGATGCAATAAAAATCAAATGCAAATGTTTTCCTTGCATCAACTAAACTGGCCCCCAGCCAGCATACTTTAAATTAAAATCCCCGCCCCCATGATTAAAAATCTTTTGTATCTAGTCAAAACATCTTCCAGCTTATGGAGATTCACAGCAACATCGTGTGCGGGCGAGAAATAGTATATCGATATAAAACTGAACTCGTGGTCTCCCATAGAAATAGTAGTAACATTCTTTCATCCATTTCGCAATTTATAACAAATCTATTTCCTCTTTTTTAAAACAACGATTGCAGTGCATCCTTTATCACCAAAATAAAGATAAATAATGATTTAAAGTATCAACTATAAATTTTGCTTACCAGCCCAATGTACAAAGATGATGTAGGATAATTGAATAAGAGGCGGAAAACTGAAACAACGAAAAGAGTAAGACGCAGCATGTAAACAAATATGTCCTTTAAATAAATTCTAATTGAAAGTGGATGAATATATGCAATATGTGCACTTCAATGCTGATATGATTAAATCTTAAGTTATCATCAGTGAGATTAAACCTCCTAAACGTGACCCCTAAAAGTTTCTACGTTATGCGATTTTTAATCCAGTGCATAGAAGTGCCTTCCTTCTGAATCTAGAATGAATCAACTGTTTTCGAATCAACATGGTCCAATTCTCCACTTTCAGATTATTTTTGAAAAGTACCTCGCAGAACTTCAGCACGTTTTGCTAACCAAATCTCTTTTGTATTCAAAATCATTGCATAAGACAAACGATGGCATTTCACAAGTTTGGACAAGCCAAGCAAAGAGAGCCAGCCTTTGAAATTAACGAAAAGAGAATAAATAATGCAAACAAACTGAAATTACTAATAGATAGTAAACTCAGCTGGATAGATTACTTTCAAGATATTGGAATAAAAACCTCAAATGGCTGTCTCCACTAAAAGAATGAGGAGATATGATTGGGGCTTAAATTTCCAAATCAAGAAGCTACTTTTCAAGCTTCGCTACAGTAATAGCGAAAATTTTTAATTATGGAGCTGCTATATATTCTTTCTTCACTACATGCATAAGCGAACTTCCTACTTCAGTAGTACAAGAAATCTTTCCTCTCCTCCAAGAAAATAGCCAAATTAAAATTTCGCTTGGTGGGCTAAAGGCACACGGAGTAAATGAAGGAAACGAAGGAAATTAAAGATCCAACTACTACTATTGATTTCGAAGATATGAACTTAAAATGTCCTACGTCATACCTAAAAATGAAGCACACAAGAAAATGTATCGTATCTGGCAGAAGGAATAGTGCCCTGTTCCCCAAGCCAGGATATGAATTAACTCAATAAACTGTTAAAGATGTCTCAATAACCCACTTTTAAATCAATTCTTATCTGGACATGGACGCTTCCGCACTTATTTCTACGACAGAAATATCTCTTCCTCAGACAACTGTGTTTTCGGCAAAAAGGAACTTCAGAACACTACCTCTTCTCATGCCCATTAGACTAACTATAAACGAACTCGTGTTTCGAAGGTTTCATATAAATAATTCAAATTTCATCACAAAATCAACACCATTGTAAAATACCTTACAGAATAATAAGGTATTTGTGGGCAATCATTGATAGGAAAATGACTTTATAATACTGTATAAAATCTTCTAAATAACTTCATGAAAATGTTTTAGAAAAATGTTCCCAAAGAGCTTCTATAGGATGCTTCACTGGATTAGTAACATCACAGAACAGTACCTGTATCACCATATGGTAATGGCCTGGTTTCCTATATGCTTATTCCTATCCTGCATAGAACTCGACTTTACTGCGTGTCAGTAAATCATCAATGCGTTTCAGTAAGTCAATGTGAGTAATAACAATAAGAGCATGTTTTACTGTTACTTAATGCACCGAATCTAAATCTACATTATGTCCAATTTTGATTTCAAGAAAGTGTGTTCAAGAAGTTTGATTAAGCGGAATACTAATGCCCCCAGCGCCACCTCTCATAGAATAGAAAAACTACTTACCGTTAGAATTTTAAAACCATGCTAGAGTACCTCCATCCTTGAATCTAGCTCAGTCTACGTGGATACACTTTTTTAGAGCTTGGGATGGAGAATTAGATACGTAAGAAATAAACAGCTCAGTTCAATGTTAAATAAATAATTCTTAAAAATACATAGGTAATTAAATTATTTTCGGTAGTACAACAGACCAAGAAGCTTTGCCATTTGTAGAAACGTATATTCAATATGACGTTTTTGTATTTTCTATCTAAAATAACATCAAGATGTTTATATTCAGTAGCAAAATCAAGATGTCCCACCAAGAGTTAGGGGAATAGTATTTTCTACAGAAGATGGACCCCTAGTAATTAGAACTTTGCTCGATATAAAGTTTGGGAATAGTTGCGAAAAAGAAGCAATGCAGCGAAAGAGTATATAGAGGCTTTCTGTGAAATATGAGGAAATTTAGTTTCCACTTAGAAAATTATGCCTCTTCCTCTGGTTCACTGATCCTCCTTGTTGATCGGTATTAACTGAATGCTTACAGTATATTGTATTCTTTTTCTATAATTTCTCTATGAACAAAACGTAACACTTCTGGTTAAAATTATTATGATTTTGAACACAAGCTCTTCCAACTGGTCATACTGTTCACAAAGGGAACATAAACTAACCTGAAATTATATTTAGAACAGTTTCCCCTTTCTTCAAGAGAACATTAATGCGGTTAAAGCTATCTTGCAGCTGCCGCAGCACAATGCATCAACTCGAATAATACGATGGGGCATGTCATCAAGAACTTTACTGCTATAATTCTACTCTTTTTGCAGCATCTAGCAGCTATTGTATGCATGCAATGGGCCGAACCATTCTTTCGTGGTCTGTTCCAATCTTTCCTTGACTGCATATAATTTTTATACTCTTAGAAAGCAGCACTGGCAGTTTTACAATAACTTCCATTTAAACACCTTAAGTTTCCCTTCAG